AGTAGATTACAAGAGAATTAAGGAGGACATGGTTCCTGTGTTATGAGCAATAAATGTTGCCTTTACTGTGCTGTCTGAAGAGGATGCAGCCTCTGTTTCACTGCTGCACACAATTGTCTGTGGGTTGATTAACAACGACCTGCAGCCTTCTGAGGAGCGCAACACAACTGCTACAGTTGTTGTTACTAGTGATGTCCAATTGACACAATGACACCTGTATCGAACCACTTCAACATTTGTATCGAGTATTGGTTCATTCATTCAAAGGTTCGGTTTAGTGCCATCTGGTGGTGAAATATTATGCAGCAGAACAATGTCTGAATTATGTGATGGGTGTAACTAGGCTTTGTGTGAATGATGTGAAAACGTTTGTAAAGATTGATTGGTCAGTCGGTCGAGTCTATGAACGTATGTAGTGTAGTCGGTGGGAGAAGGCGTGCTTGGGGAGGATGTGCCAGGATGGTAATATGTGCATATGTAACTAGGACAGGGTGTGGATAAATACAAGGGATAGAGAATCAATAATTTTTATTCCTAGCTGGCTCCATGGTGATCACACACCAGCAGCAATGATCATACCGACAGCAACTATGCACACACCTACTACGCCGACAAACCCACATGTTGTGCATCATCTTGGGTGGCTTTATAGTACCCCTACGCACCTGCTGACACGCGCAGCGAGATCTCGCATTGTGACACCATATCGACAGTCGGCACCAGTCACAGAAGTCACTCAGGCCGGCCATTTCTGCGTCGGACGTCATCAGTCACGTGTCTTTTCGGCAACGATACAAGCCTCGAAGCAGTGGTTCACGGAAGATCCCTCTCCAAGCTCGAATCATGCATCGAGGCCTCGGTGTCAGATGGCCATCACTAATTGTTACTGTCTGCCAGTCAACCTGAGTCTTGCCGTGGGACAAAGAAACATGTGTAACTAGCTGAAAGCTACAATATACTTGATCCACAATACAAATGTTTTCTTGGAAGTGTGAAGGAAGCTGTCATGACTAGTTTCTATGAACAAGAGAAGGCATGGATGCAGGAGGACACCAGCATGCCTGACCCCAGAAAAAAAAAGTCAAACAAAGCCAAATGCTTTCAGTTTTCTATTGTGGGATAACAGGGAAAAGTAACATTTCTATGTGACTTTGAAATTGCACTTGTGTTTTCTGCATCACTCAAAAGTTTCTTGCTGAAAAACACATAATTCAGTTTTCATCTATCCATTTGTCTATACCACTTATTCCTGAACAGGAGAGGAAAAACCCAACAAATCCCCCACAACATACACAACAACAAAGAATCAAATACTGGGCATGTTGATGTGGCCAGTGACTGCTCATTAGAAACATACAGCTCCAGAGCCAGGGCTACCTGCAGAAAAGTACAGGGAGAGAGAGAGAGAGAGAGGACACACTACGGGAGAGAGGAGACACAGATAGTGACATGTAATGTGGCATATAAATGGATGGAGAGAGAGGAGAGGAACTCAGAGCATCATGGGAGGACCCCCAGCAGTCTAGGCCTATAGCAGCATAACTAAAGGAAGGCTCAGGGTCACCTGATCCAGCCCCGACTATAAGCTTTATCTAGAAGGAAAGTCTTAAGTCTAATTTTAAATGTAGAGAGGGTGTCTCTCTCCTGAACTGAGACTGGGAGGGTGTCTGCCTGATTTGTTGGGTTTTTCCTCTACAATAATAATAGTAAGGTTTAGACCTTACATTGTACAATGTCCTGAGATGATAAACTTTATTTCTATAGCACTCAACAACTCGTAGGAGCCCTGAGTGCTGTACAACAGAACAAAACTACACACAAGTAAAATCCTAAATCAAAAATAAAACTGCAAACATAAAAAAAAAGTCTTACTGAGGGTGTCCACATTCCCACCACCCCCCATTACATGACTGGTCACAGTGGCTTGCTGGATGATGGCACCGTGCGTTGCAGAAAAATACCCCACTTTTTTGTGGCATGGGGCTACATTTTTCCAGAGCCGCCTGTGGTGCTGGTGCCAGCTGCATTGAACACAATGCGGGGGGGGGGGATTTTTTGTGATTTGGCTGTATACAAATATAATTGAATTAAAAACTGAATTATGGCGGCATAGTGACAGAGTGATTAGCACTGTCACCTCACACTAAGAAGGTTCCGGGTTCGAGCCCACGCCTGCCCTGGGCCTTTCTGTGTGGAGTCTGCATGTTCTCCCTGCGCCTGCCCAGCTTCTCTCTGGGTACTCTGGCTTCCTCCCACAGTCCAAAGACGTGCAGCTTAGGTTGATTGGTGAATCTAAATCGCCCCTAGGAGTGAGTGGTTGTTTGTGTTACGTGCGAGTGTGGTGTGGACCCCAGTTGCAGACACAGACCAGGAGGAGTAGGAGCTAAAGAAAGTGGTTTAATGAACAACAACACAGGTAAGGCTGGGTGGTAGGAAGACAAGGATCCAGGGAGGAGATCAGGGAGGGACGAGGCAGAAACCCAAGACAGACCAGGAGGAACCGAGAGGGGCGAGCAGGAGACCAGGAGGACGAAGAACCAGGAGGGACAAGCAGGAGAGCTGGCAGCAGGGGAGACACAGGACCCAGAAGACGAGCAGGTAAGCAGGCAGCAGCCAGGAGAACCAGGATGACAGGTGAGTCGACGGACGAGTACACAGGGTTGTGGCAGTAGTCAGACACACAGAGTAGCAAGATCAGCAATCGGAACAGAAGGATGAAGAGCAGGGGACTGACGAACGTAACCAACAGAACGGGGAGCTTGCTGATTAACCAGATGCAGAGTTATCAGAGCTGTTGACATGCGGAAACAAACAAAAACAAGACGGTCGAACAGACGGAAAGCTCAGGACACGAACACATGTAATGCTAACCGCGTAGCATACAGGTAAGGTTACGGTACGGTATGAACCAGCAAAGAGGCAGCGGAAGACGGTGTATATATACCTGACAGGACCGGGAGACAATGAGCAGCAGGTGAGAGAAATGATGCCTGATTGCAGAGAGACACCGGCAGGGGACCGGACCTGGGGATCAACAGGTGAATGATATGGCGACTAATTGTGGTGACGGAGCAGCCGGGAGAGAGCAGGTAAACAAAAACGTAAACACGGGAAGCCGAGCCGTGCGACATCACAACAGTTTGTCTACATGTCAGGCCTGTAACAGACTGGCGACATGTCCAGGGTGGACCTTGCCTCTCGCCCATTGTACAAAATGGATATTGATATTTGCTAAATGATTACCCTAAACAGTTGGCATATTCACATGGTTTGGTCTGAAGATCAGTTTTGATATGATGTGAATAAGTGGAACTAGTATCACGTGTATATGTCGGCCACCAAATTTAGGGGCTTTGTGGCCTGTGGGGCCAGTGCTTTAAAATATTAGCTTCTAACGCTGAATTAAATGTCTATGGGAGATTTTGAACTGACATGTTAGTGCTCTCCACCAACATCCTCAAGCACCAAATGAAGGAACATCTTTTGGAAGAATGGTGTTACAGCCTTCCAGTAAAGTTCTTGTAGAATCAGTGCCAACACCGAAGCTGTTCTGGCAGCACATGGTGGCCCAGTGCCTTTGGGCTTACTGTTAATACTGAACCAGGTAGCTAAAGCTGAGGCTGTATTCAGTCTGAGATTTAAAGGTGTGAAAAATGTAGACCCCCCCATTCATTCCTATGTAGGATTGTGTTCAATGCAGCTGGCACCAGCACCACAGGCAGCTCTGGAAAAATGATGTATCCCCATGCCGCAAAAAAGTGGGGTATTTTTCTGCACCGCACGGTGCCATCATCCAGCAAGCCACTGTGACCAGTTATGTAATGGGGGGCAGTGGGAATGTGGACACCCTCAGGAAGAAGACTCTTGTTTACCCTGTTACTGACATTGTCAGAACCATTCACTGATAATCAGTCTCAAATTTGGCCCAGTTAAAAAGACAGCATAATGACACGCCATGCATTTTGTTAGTTACCAGCTGTTAAACAGTGTTTTTCATTCTATTTATGCCACCACACTGGTGCTAAGGTAGAGTATGTCCAGATACAGCACAAGGTTCTGGCACAACTTCACCTACTGTCAATCGACACAAACAAGGAAAAAGCCTTCGCCGGGATCTGTCAAGGCTTCATGCCGAAACGCGTTGGTCTTCTTATTAAAGTTGCTCAAACACTGCAAGTGTTGCTGGACTTTTTGCTTTTAAGGCAGACAATGTCAGCAGCATGGCTAACCAAAACACAATGGAAACTTATGGGCTGGAAATGTGAATGAGCCCAATCATGTCATATCGTACATGCCTACAAGAAACTCCCCATCTTCCCTACCCCACAACACAACTCCTCAGTTTGAACATCCACTAAGTCTCTCTAGTACAATGGTCCTACTTCCTCCACGAAGCTGATCATGTTCAGCTTTTGTTCAAAGTGTTTTAGAGAGGTATAGATTCAACTGAATGGTCATTTTGGAGGCTGTTGTTTGGGCTGGTGTTTTGCTGCATTATACAGAGAGGTGGTTCTGTTATTTAGCCTAGCGTCAGTGATTTAAATGGGGTGGACAAAATAATGGAAAC